TCTTTCTCAAGACCTATTTCGCAATTTATCACGGCCTCAATCTCTTGACACTGCCCTAATACAGTTCCTTTGGAGAGTTCGGTACTTGCACTCATTAAGTACTTTTACTGGAACGCGTCTATATTGTCTTGTCATAGCCAGGGTTTTGCCTACAAGTAAGTTTGGTGTAGATCCCTTTGTGACCTCAACAATCCACTACTTGTTTGGCTCATAGTCTCCATCTATTTCTGCCAAAATAACTGCTTCTGATGTTGGTGGAATCTAGTGGCTCTCTGTTGTTATCACTCGTCTAGCGTTGTACTTACTATCGTAACCGAACATAAGTGGTACTTCCATATTTCTGTAGGACATAATCCTGTTTTTTATGTCAATTTTGATTCCTTGAGTCGCTAGAAAGTCTACTCCACTTATGACTTCCTCAACGATATCTGCCACTATAAAATTGTGTAACACGGTTGCCTTTCCAATTACGCTCTCACACGTTACCTTTGCGAGAACTAGGGTATCTTCTCCAGTTGCAGTACGAAACTTTGCCCCAGCTAACGGTCTCACTTCTTTCTCAACCAGATGAGATGGAATAATGGAATGTGATGCGGCCGTATCCACAGTCAGTATGCGCTTTTTACCGTCTACACATCCACTAACGGTAAAGTTATTTGTATTCCTGCTTATTTATGAAATGGAGATTACAGGGCATTTGCTTGCGGGAGCCAGCACGTGCCCTTTGCGGTTGGCTCGCTTTAGTTTTAACGATTGGTTTGATTTGACATTTGCTTAATCTTCCTCAGCTTTGCGTTTACGTCCAACTGGATTATTGCGTGCAATATGGCCACTTTTTCCGCGTTTGAAGCATTTAAGCACACCATCATTTTTCTTATGCGCTTCCGTAGATTTTTCCAGTGCTTTCTGCATGTTGTCAATTTTTTCAAGTAATTGGTTCACCCAAGTGTGTTCCTCTATTTCTACTTTGTGAGCTTTAAATGTTTGATTGCAAAGCAGAGATGCAGTTTCCTGTGTCATAGCATGCGAAACGGTTTCTGTAAACGTCAATTTTGGACATGCTAATGCAGCGAACCGTGTAGTGTTATCTCGTATTCCATTGACGAAGGTCTGAATTTTCATGTCCTCAATGTATTTCATGGATTTATGTGCACAAGCTAAGTGAGCTAACCTCTCAATCTCTGTAGAAAACTCCTGCAGAAACCCCTTTTTCTTTCTGGCGGCGCCTGGCAGTTTGGAATGGTCTGTAATATCTCCGCTGCAGATCCTTTTAATGTAACGAAAAATTCAATTTTTTCTTCTATTTTTGTTGTCTCTTCCTCTAATTACACGTGAAAGACATATTCTTCAACATTAATGTTTTCCGCCTCCATGGCCTCTCTCAACCGTGATTTTAATTCAGTTTTTAATCCATTTGTCGCCAAACCACGTTGCTCCAGCTCTTTTTTCAGTTGTGGAGTCTTCAGATCGTTAAACTTGGCCATTTTCAAATAATTATCTCCTTGGGAATTTATTTGACAATCCCACTTCTGACACCAATTGTAACGGATTTCTCGATAATTCGTCTACCTGTAACTCACTCTTGAGTTCGATCAGTGGATTGTTAAATTAAAATCCCAATTTAATAGCTATACACTTATCTTTATTCCAACAATTTAACACTTATTGCTCGATATTCGAGTTTACAACTAATTGCTTACAGCTTATGTGCAAAAACATTCGCACGATTACACAATTCAAAAAATTCGATGAGCATAGCTTTTGCTGAATTTATAAAACTATCAAGAGCTGTTTCGCGTTGCTCCAGCTTTTTTTTCAGTTGCGGAATCTTCAGATCGTTAAACTTGGCTATTTTCAAATAATTATCTCCACAGACAAAAAATTCGCGTTTTCATAGATGAAAGAGGTTTTCACGCGAAAACTTGTGTTTTCATCCATACAAAATCTGTCAAACGAAAACGCAGTTTTCGCTGAAAACCCCTTGAAAAGTTACATTCCACTCATTATAATCGGTGCCTGCTCTAGTTTAATCGATATTATTAGAATACATATTTTGCCAGCCCTAAATGTCAGTTGACAATTTGTTTACATTCCATAATTGGCCTAAACGTACCCTTCAAGAAACTGCTGATGGGTTCACCAATACACTCACATTTGCTATGCCAATACTGTTAATTTACATTTGCATTTCAGAACTATCCACTGATTGGAGAAAGACGTACGCAGTGCTACTGACAGGAGGAGATGGCATCAAGTGAAAATTTATTTTTATATTTTCATATTTTATTATATTTTTTGTTGCATTCCTTTTTATATTTAAGTATATTAATATAACTAATTTTGATTAAAAGTTTGAAATTTATTAAAGAAATAAAAATTATATTATATACTGCGCAAAACGATTTTTCACTTCTGATAGCCTTTCAGTCATAACTGACAATTTTCAGCAATGACTCAGAAAAAGACAAGAGAGTGAGCATTATAGATATATAGTGAATCAATTCCGAATACCCATGTGTTAAAGAGACACATAAGTTTGTTTACATCAGTTTTTGCACAAGACTCTTAAAAAAGGATAGAAACTTTGTTCTGCGCGCTGATAAAATTTTTTCAGCTATGACTGTCATATTACCCATCAGATGACCGTCAGTGTTCTTGTAGGGTACATAACAAATGTAAACAAATATATGTGTGAACTGTCAATGAAAACTCATCGAAAACACAATGTCGGTCAGAACGACTTGATTCACTTTTGTTTGAGCGCTCGTCAAATATGGACATTAGCAAATAGAAAAAAACTATATTTTACAGTTGTTCTTCGACAAGCCGAAAATGCAAGCCAGGCTGCTGAAAATGTGCTCAGGCCCATAGAAGAAAACGAATAATGATGTGAGGGCGATGATCCCGTCCTTTTTGTTGGTTGGTGGTGTGAGGCGTCCTCGTGTGTGGTGATATTCAGCGTGTGGTGACATCCTGTATGGGGTTCTCAGGAGTGGTGTATATTATTAGGGTGTGCTTGGTTGGTGTATACATATATGCGAGGGGGAGGCTTAGCTCATTTAACCAATAATTAAAGCATTAAATTTCGTGTTATGGATTTATTTTTGCTACACCAATATAAAATTCGCTATGTGAATGAAATTAACTTGACTTGATGAGAATAAAATAAGCCGACTTATTTTTATTTCTACTCCGTGATGTTTGCTGGTTGAAAAGTGACAGCGGGAAACACCTGGCGGGGATAACTGATTGGTTAATAGAACTATAATAAATGAAAATTATAGTATACTTCAACTATTATATTCGATTGCCTCTAGATGGAATAGAATAAGATAAAAATGGCAATTACAAATCAGGAATTGATGAAAATTTGGAATTGCATGTATTTTCCAAGGTTGAATCGTGAAAAAATAAAAACAAAAAAATATAAGTGTACAAAAAATAGATGTTAGCCGATTCTCAGATTTTTCCTATAAGCACACATAATTTCAACAAAATCGGTCCAGCCGTTTCGAAGGAGATTGACAACAAACACCGTGACATGTTAGTTTTATATATTAGATGTATTATATTCTTTCCATCATTAGTAAAATTTTTAACATAATCTCTGAATTTAATGCAAATATACTATAAATTAATAAAACAATTAATAGTAAAGCCTATCAATCTGACTCCATCCATCATTGCATTTGTAAATGTCAAAAAGTAACTTTATTTGTGATGCGCGATTTTCTTTAACACTGCGCACAGACTACCGGGCTAATACGTTTCAAAACATAGTGCAATGTCAGAAATATTTCGGATGCATTACAGAACATTTGAAGTGACTTCCCTCCTAAAGGTAGGTATTCAATGGGATAGTCTGGACTCTGGGGATGATGTGGCTGCCCTTTTTTCACGTTGTACAACAAACATTTTTTTACCACTAAAGCAGAATGCTTCATGTCGTTATCCTGACAGTAGCCACCATTTAAATAGAGTTTAGCTGATGACGGAACGAAATTACTTTTTAATATTGCCAAATTCCATTCTTTCCTTATTCGATCAAAACAAGGCTCCCAGTACACACCTTTTGCTGCCATTTCGCAACACACCACACAATGCAGCGTCCTCCAAGCTGCTAATCTTATTGAATTTTCCTTCGGATTAGCGAAACCGGATTCCAGCCGGGGCGTGCAAATTTTTTGGGCGTTCCACTACCATTAAGTCTTTCAATTTCGCCAGTCTTTTTGAATTTTTGAATTTAGCAAGAATTTACTGAACAATTGTATGTGTGGTTTTTTTTTAATATTGCCTATTTCGAGAAAACTTTGGTTTTGTTTTGCCAAATTTCACTACCTGTGCTTGTAAATCTTGAAATGTTTGTTTATTCACAATTTTTTCTTCAAAAACTACAATCGCAAAAAATTTCACTTACCAAATAATACATTTTGACCATACACAAATAACACCAGACAAAAACAAACAGTTATCATACTTAATTTACAGTGGAGCCAACGAAAGTGTGCAAGTTTTTTTTTTGCCGCTCAAAAAGAGATTTTTTATTTTTTTGTTTGCAATCGTTGACATCAAAATTTAATTATTGTTTAAAGTTTTATAAAAAAAAAATACATATTATTCTAATATCATTATTCTTGGTTGTAGCTTAAAAGCTGAAATAGTTTAAGAGAAACGTCCTTTCAAAGTCAAAATATATCTCGTGTAAGTTTTTTTTTGGGTTCACTGTATATACATACATAAAGCAGCAAGAGACTTATAGTTTTCGAGATATTCGCGCTTTATGTCCGAAAATTCACAAAGCAAAGTATGTGACTTTTCTATGTATTCTGAATTTTAAACTTATATTATTCAATATTATATCCACTAACACATCTCTAAATAGTTTTTAGACATTTTTTTCATCATTAATTGTGCATACATTGTTTAAAATCGTAATCAAAGTTTTCTCAAACTTGACTTATTTACCAACAAAAAGGTTATTGTTATAAAAAATTGTATACCCTCGATGACATTATTAGTCGATCCAACACAGGAGTGTTCATAGTTCTTTCGCGTCGAACTACTTTTTGCATTGGAGGCATTCGGCCGCTCTTCAAAAAAGTAAGTCTGCTCTATCCAACAAAGGGTTGTTCAGGTTTCTATCGATTCGCACTACTTTTTGCGTTGGCAGTCTTCGGCGTCTCTTCGATGAAAATAACTCTGATCTATCCAACACCGGGATTTAAGAAGAGAAAGGAATTTCTGAAAGAATTTGCGTTACTCATCAACGAGTATGAATTTTGTACTGACGGTATAATCCTTTTTTTTTATTTATTTTTATTCGTTAGCAAAATATATGGTAACACCTTTGTTTGTTTGCATATAACAATTGTGGTGTTAGCGACAGCGGATATTTTGAGGTGTGTTTTGATATTTCGAGCAACTTTACGTTCAGCCTGGGCGTGCAAATTTTTTCGAGCGCTCCACTACCATCAAGTCTTCCAACTCCATCAGTCTTTTTGAATTTAGCAATAATGTTTATTTTGAGAGTACTTTTGTTCTATTGCCAATGTTTGACAAGCTGAGCATGTAATTCTTGAGAACTTAGTTTATTCACCATTATTTCTTCAAAAACTGCAACCGCACAAAAGAAATACGCTTACTAAATAATATATTTTGACCATACTCAAGCAATACCAGACAAAAATAACGGTGCCTACATTTTAGCTCATTTAAAGTGTTGACAACGAAAGTGTACAAGTTTTTTTTTACTACTCAAACGGGAGATATTTGAGGTTGCAGCATAAAAGCTAAAGTAGTTTAAGAGATAAGTCCCTCCAAAGTCAAGTTCATCTCTCTGTTCAAGTTTTGTTTTTTTTGGTTCACTGTACATCGCAATTGACGTCAGCGAAGTCGCCCCTTTACTAACAAAATTACATTTCAAGTTCCTACGTAACAATACATATGTGTATGTATATATATCGACTTTTTTAATGATCTTCAGGAAAGAAACTATTTTAATACCTAACTACATTATAAATCTAAATTGTAAAATATACATCAACATAGATATACATTTCATTAGATAAAAATATATAGTTTTCTGCATATATGTATAGTGAAATTACTTATTTAAATTAATTAACCCCCACCACAAATTGTAGAGAATGATTTTTCAATCAAAATACTATTATCTACCGCAAGCTCATCGACAGCATATTTTCTACCTATTTTATCTAGCATTAAATAATATTTTTGATATTATATAATATTATGTTAATGTACATGCAAAGTATGTATGTTGTCTGTACAAATGTATCCGTAAATTTCGTACACTTATAGCACTTATAATGTTTATAATGGATTGTTAAAAAATAAGTCCAAATTTAATGGCTATACACTTATCTTTATTTCTAATTCCAACAACTTAACACTTATTGCTCGTTATTCGAGCTTACTACTTCTTGCTTATGTTTCAATTGCTCTTAACACGACAACATTCTAACTAGAACTGTGTTTGCTGCACAATCCGGCAGCCCTTATTAGGTAAATCTTTAACAAAACATTGCTTCTAGAACATTCTGGCAACTACGAATTCACTGTATAGTTGCTTCTGGCAATTTATCGTCGATTTGATTTGTTCTATCATCCGTGTTCGTCACAATATACTTCCAGTTGTGCTAGATTATTGAAGCATTGTATAAATCTACAAGTAACCAATCCTAAGATTTTTACTAATCCACACGCAAAAATTGGCCACTTGGTACGGGTTGCCTCAAAAATTATACTACTACAGTCACACTTGGTACAGGTTGCCTACTAATATTCTACTACTAAAACGTTCAAATGACTCAAATCTGCTATAGTGTGTTGCCGTGTTTTGTTTTACAATTTATAACTTTAAGTATGTTTTTATTACATATTCAAATACTTTTCGATAATTTAAATTCCTAAAGATTAAATTTACATTTAATAAGTATACCGCTGTGGGTGATTTAGAATATTTGAAAAATATTATTTATTGATCGGTTCATTGCTCCGCTCACTGGGTACAAAATCTTTTAAACCAAAATAAAAGTTTGAACAATTAATAGATTAAAAATATATATATATTTTTTTTTGTTATTAAATCATATTTTTTCGTTTAAAAAACTTTCTTTTTTTAAAATAATTCAAGAAACAAAAGCCACAAAGTTCATTGTAATTTTAAAAACAATTAACTTAAACGGAAAATGTCTCCGCTCATCAAAAAGAACACAAGAATAGCAACGAAATTTTAGAACTTCTGCTAGACGTTTAGGCATGGAATGTACTAATTTCCTCGTATCTTCAGTCGACATTTTACTCCATTCATCCAATATCGGTCTTGAGCATTTCTTTGGTGGTAATCGTATGTGTACGAATTCTGCGCTCCAATACAGCCCATAAATGCTCAATTGGATTGAGGTCAGGTTATTAAGGAGGCTGCTGGAGCATTGTGAAGAAGTCAAAGGCGAACAAGTTCCGTTGTATGCTTAGGGTCATTGTCCTGTTGGAAACAAAACACGTTTGGCAATCCTAATTTGTCAGCATTTTGCTTCATTTGTCGTTTTAAAATATTTAGATAATCAAATTTATTCATTATATTTTCGATAAACTCAATGCCACCAACTCCACTTGCTGCCATACACCCCCACAATATAACTCCACTGCACTATGCTTTACGGTTGAAGTAAGATTTCGTGCTTCAAAGGCTGTACCAGTTTTTCGCCACACCATCTGTCTTCCTTTCATTCCAAATATACAATATTTGGTGTCATCCGACCATAAAACCGATTGCTAAAAAGATATAGGCTTGGTTTGCGAATGCAATGCGCTTCATACGATTTTTTAAGGAAATTAATGGCTTTTTGCGTGCCACTGGCCCATGATAACCAGCCCTTTTTAACATTTTTCTTGCTGTCTTGCTGCATATTAATTTCTTAAATTGTAGTTATACATCTGCTGCTATTTGGGAAGCGGTTAAACGCGGATTACCCTTTACAAGAGATACAACTTTGCGTGTTTCTCGACCAGTCAATATTCTCGGACGTCCAGATTGAGGCTTTGAAGTAATAATTCCCGTTGTTTTGAAAGTCTGGATGACGTATCGAACTGATGACTCCGCTCTGTCCAATGTCACGAAAGCTTTTACCGTCCTCCCCGCTCATCAGCACTTAATGCTTTGCCTTTTGCACTAATTTTGATTGCCGCTAAATAATTCGAAAAATTTACGCACAAATTGCAGATGTTCTTTTGATTATCTTAATCTGTATTATTGACAATAACGAACAAAAAATTAACAGGTCTTAAACACGTTGAAACTACAATAAACTAATGTAACAAGCATAGAGCGAATACTTTTTATGCTTATTCTGTATTAGTAGAATGCAAAAAACGCCGAGACTTTTTCTTCCAAGTAGATTGTTTTAGAACTATAAACATTATATGGGTGAATATAGGTCTCCTGGGGAACCGAACACCCAAAAAAGATCAGTAACGCGCCTATATTGCAACATTCTTGAAAGTTTTCATTGAATTCAGCATTACAAATACATGTTCACAAACAAGTTGTTAAACTGTATTCCTTTTATTTACATCTCTGTGTCTAAAAAAGGCAGATTCGATCAGGTGATATCAGCTGTGTCACAAACGCTGATTCTTTGGTTACTTGTAGGCTTATACAATGACTTGAAGAGTGGAGTGCTTTACTACTACGTTATTGTATAATCTGCTAATATATGAAATGCTCGTGTCACGGTGTTTGATATCGAAACGGCTGGACCGATTTTGATGAAATTTGGTGTGTTTATCGGAAAGGTCTGAGATTCGGCCAACATATATTTTTTATACCCCTAAATAATTAGTCCACCCCAAATATTACTTATTTATATTTTTGTGTTTTTTTTTTCACGATTCAGCTTTGAAAAATACATACAATTCCAAATTTTCACACCTTCCAAATTCAATCAATCCCTGATTTTTAATCGCGATTTTTATCTTTTTCTATTCCATCCACAGGCAATCGAATATAATAATTGTAGTATACTATAATTTTCATGTAGTATAGTTCTATCAACCAATCAGTTATCCCCGCCAAGTGTTTCCCGCTGTCACTTCTCAACCAGCAAACATTACGGAGTAGGAATAAAAATAAGTCGGCTTATTTTATTCTCATCAAGCGCATCTTGAAAAAAGCGAAAGCCATTCACGAGCGAAACAGCTGTTGATAGTGTCATAAATTCACTTAAAAGTGAATGTGAAGTATGCTCATCGAATTTTTTGAACTGTGTAATCGTGCGAATGTTTTAGGGCCTTTGCACAAACACTCATATCAAAAAGTGGCACGCTATTTTATATTTGATCAATCGGAAAAATGGATGCCCCGCAAGCAAGGCACACCATTCGATGCATGCCCCGGTTTGTTCAAATCAAATAATTTGGGTCGAGTATATATAGGCAATCCAGGGCAGACTGATTGATTTTATCTGCGACTGTTGTTGGTTAATGTCACCAGACCATTAACATTTTAAGATATACGTAAAGTAAATGGGCAACAGTATCAAACGTATAAAATGCATGCCTTGCACTAAGCTTGCTAGAAGATGACAATCAGTGACAGTATGCTAGCTGAAATAGCATTTATTGCACAGACAAACAAATTCGTCTATTTTTTCCTATAGTACCAACGACATGTTTTCTGCCCCGACCACAAATGATATGGCTAATCAAAAAGATTCGATGACTGATGATAACATATTGTATCGACATCGTAGAAGGTCCAACGATCTAGCGATTTCGTTCAGTGACGCAATGTACAATGAAGCATTGAGTGGTATTGAGGATCATTGATTGGCATTGCGAATTTACCAATCAGTCAAATGGGTATGAGTTCTCAAATCGAAATGCATATGATTTAATCGACACAGATAGAAATCGTGAAATGAAGTATGATACTATCCATTCTTCCACTACTAAATGATGATCGAAAAAACAAGAGACATGCTTTTTTTGTTTTTAGAACTGGCAAAATATTCCTTATTTCGCTACTTCTTGCTGAGATACATCGCAACAACTTTATTAGATGGAGGCAGAACAGCTCATTTAGCATTTCACCTATTAAACATTCAAATACATTCATATATGAAAATACTGTATGCATAAAATTACCAACGGATTTCTGCACAATCCTCAACTCACAAAATACTCTCCTCGATAATATATTTCTCACAAACCTAACGTTATTTGTTAGCGAATTAGATTTAGGTACAGCAAGTTTTTCCAACACACATCTTTATTTGGCATGTTCACGCGTAAGCAAACCATCCAGTTTCCTTGCATCCGCTAAACACAGACTGACCAAAACTATTGCACACTCCATTGAGATACTCGTTTGAGATTTCTTTGTGGATTGGCTGATATTTTCGGTAGAAGGTCAACTATAGGCACTGGGGTCCACATATTTAGTACTTAGGGGCTTGAACAGTTTTGGTTCGATTTAGACAATTTTTGGCCACAAGGTGGCATACTTCAAACGTATTATTCACGCAAAGTTTTACCCCAATATAATCATTGTTGCTTGATATGCATAGTGGAAAGTGAAAGAATCAGATGGAATTGAAAATGGTGTTATATGGGAAATAGCGTGGTTGTAGTCCGATTTCGCCCATTTTCGCACTATAACATAAATATAAAAGAATGTTATGTACCAAATTTGGTTGAAATCGGTTAAGCAGATCTCAAGATATGGGTTTCACCTAAACGTGGGCTGTGCTATGCCCATGTCTAATTTTGAACGCGGTGCCTATAAAGCTATCTCATACCATCCAGGGATAAAATTTAATGTCTCTGGCGTGTTTAGTGCTTGATTTATCGCGCTTTTAGAAGTTTTTACAGTACCGTTATATGGAGAGGGCGGAGTTGCCACCCGATTTCAACTATTTTCACACCGTCAATAAAAGTGCTAAAAAATTTGCTTCCAGTGAATTTTGTTATTATAGCATCAGCGGTTTAGATATGCACATTAAACCTATTAGAGGCGGGACCACGCCCACTTTTTTAAAAAAAATTTTAACTGCTGATGCCCCTCCCTAATGTGATCCTGTGTACCAAATAACAGTCTTGTATCTTATTGCGGAGCTTAGTTATGGCAATTTTTAATGGCGTTTTGTGGGCGTGGCAGTGGTCTGATTACGCCCATCTGCAATACCAACCGTCTCACGATACCAAAAAACATTTCTACCAAGTTTCATAAAGATATCTCAATTTTTACTAAAGTTACAGCTTGCAGGGACGGACAGACGGACGGACGGTCCGACAGTCGCCCGGATTTCAACTCGTCTCTTCATCCTGATCATTTATATTATATATATATAACCCTATATCTAACTCGATTAGTTTTAGGTGATACAAACAACCGTTAGGTGAACAAAACTATTATACTCTGTAGCAACAGGTTGCGAGAGTATAAAAACTACGTATGTTAATGGCAAACAATATTTGCCGGGTCAGCTAGTATATAACAACCTACGGTATATACTGTGCTTAACATATCATCACACAAATACGGACTGTATACAGTCCGCAAAAGTTGTACACCGGTAACATGAAATAAAAAACACAATGATTAAATCATCCTGAAAGCAGAGCAGGGCATATGATCTAACCCTAATGGCCTGACCCAAATAGTAAATCGTGAATATAACGATTTTTTTTTAAATTTGGTAAGCCGTACAATATTAATTAATTATGCCTGGCCTAGGTAAAAGGTCTGTTGCAAACACAAAGTAAAGAAAGTCGCGCTAATTTCAGATTAGCTCCTAAAATCCGTCTGAATGAGCAGAATAACGATACTCTTCAACGTAGAAATAGGCATCAGTAACCTGCTAAACAAAGCATAAATACTTTTGAGCTTAGAACTAGATGTCAAAATACAAAAATTCGCTTAGAAAATAAGAAACTGCTGTACTATTACTGTTCTTTATAGAACTAGCTGTCAAAATTCTGAAATTCGATCAGAGAAGCAAAGTAGGTTACTCGAGCACGTTTCATGCAGGATCAAATCCCGAAGTAAGGAGAAAGTAACATTATAGAGAATACAACGTTGACAGGAGAGGTACATGGGAAAAATGTGAATCAGAGACATCGTCGATAAACTCAGAGCCACCTTAAGGGGGTCATTCCTTGTGACGGCCTGTATTTTAGGGATTTTTCATAATTTTTTTTACGACCAGTTAATAAATAGAGCTTTAAGTTTATTATCATTTATTAACATATATTTCGGCATTATAAAATAATATAAATTTTGTGCTAAAATATTGTGTAGAACATGTGTTACAGTGTTCTGAACACCCCGCCTCGAAAAAAATGGGCTCGCTTTTCCTCCACGATTCCGGCTGATTGGCTTATCCGAAACAAAAAAAATTAAAGGCGCTCTAATCTGTAATCTTAAATGCACGGAATGAAGTAGTATCAAATGAATATACCAAAAATTTGACTTTTGGTTGATATTTAACAAAAAAAATCGAATTTTGCGTTTTGTTTTTGCTATAATTTTTTGGGAATTTTTGATTGATAATCGTTCATTCCATCCGGTTACATGTGCTAAGTGTAATTTCAAGCCATTCGGTCAAGCCATTCACTCCAGTTTTTGAATACGATGAAAGAAAGTTTAAAAACACTGTTTTTAGAAAAATTACCAACGGATTTCTGCACAATCCTCAACTCACAAAATACTCTCCTCGATAATATATTTCTCACAAACCTAACGTTATTTGTTAGCGAATTAGATTTAGGTACAGCAAGTTTTTCCAACACACAACTTTATTTTTTGGCATGTTCACGCGTAAGCAAACCATCCAGTTTCTTTGCATTCGCTAAATACAGACTGACCAAAACTATTGCACACTCCATTGCGTTGAGAGAGTCATTTTTGTTAATTTTTATTTGAAATAATTAGTAGTAAATATATGAACTATTTTCGATGTGCATATACTTAGGTAGCTATCAATAATAGGCAATTAATATATGCATCTTCATTTACCTTTTAATTATAAGTAAGTAAGTTTTAATTATAAGGCTCGTGAGCAAGCGGACGTGTCAGATGTGGTGATTTTTGTGGTGTTAACAATATTGTTCTAAAAAATTTTAAATCTGGAGAGAAAACTTACTGCGTTATTGAAATAGTTTAAATTAATTATTTTAATGAAAATAAAAGTGTGAAATAGCATAAAAAACAAAAAACAAGTTAACAAAAAATGTGCTTGCGTAAATAAGTACAGCAGCAACAACAACAGCGCAAGTGGTCTGAAAACAATACGTAGCGCAATTAATAGACTCAACTAGATGGATGTGCACACACAAGAAAAACAAAAAAGCGGAGAATAATAATGAAAGCAGCAAAAAAGAACGAAGAAGGGATGATTGGAAGAGACGGCGTAGAGCAAAGTGCGGTGAAAATTTCTGCAGCAAAATGCAAAAGTGCAAGCAAGAACAAGGACGAAGCTGCGCAGCTTGGTGATAAGTGTGACGAAACTTTTAAATGTCATTCAAATATGAAACTTCCATTATATGTGAATGTGTTTATCACGAAGGTGACTTCAACAGATTTATTTTCTTTTTGCTTGCTTTTATTTTAATATTTAACAACTTTAGACTCAGCGGTAACATATTGTAGTATTTAATTGCTATATATTTCGAGTCTTTGTAAGATATATTTTTATTAATTTTTGGTAACTGTAACGGTTTAGCTCTAGCTTACCTTTATATTGCTTAAATACCTCTCTACAATCAGAATAATGATAACATAGTGACTCAGAAATAACTTCTTTTAATACCCAGTACGGGTGTTCTCTCGTTTTATCACTAAATGATTAATTAATTTATCTTGTATTTTTATTAACAATTTTGTAACATTATAACTACCTCCAGGCAATAATTCCATAGTTGGACTATACTATCGAATAAGCTAATAAATTGTTTTTAGTGCTTTCTTGTTCATTATATTTTTAACTTTGAGAATAAGATAGAAAATATCTGTTTTTATGACTTCTTTGATATGAATATCCCATCTCATGTGACTATCAAATATACAAATTCAATTCTATTAAACTTA